CATCGTTCCTATCACCCACCTCCTACCATTTATGACTTGCATGTCTGAAATGGTATAGGATTTCCTGCCTAAGCAAGGGGTTGGACTAGAAGACCTCCAAGGTCTCTTCCAACTCTGTTATTCTGAGTTTGATGACTTTTCGAGCTTGATTATATTTCAGAAAGGGCATCTGTACAGGACTTAGCAGCTGGGAAACGAAGAGCCATCCTTGAGCCTTGGAGATAAAAGAGAACTCTCCTAGATGTGAAAACCTCTGAGCCGCAGTTTGATTCCAAAAAAGGTTTAGGGATGGGAATGGGAAGTACTAAAGGACAAAAGGAAGGACCAGGGGGGTGACATGATAGCCTTGTTCCGATATTTGAGGGGCTGCCACAAAGAAGAGGGGGGTGGGGTCAAGCTATTCTCCAAAGTACCCGAGGGTAGAACAAGAAGCAATGGGTGGAAACTAATCAAGGAGAGAAGCAACCGAGAGCTAAGGAGACATTTTCTCATTTTAATTATTTCCTGAAACGAGAAGGGCACTCCTATTGATGCAACTTCCTGTTTGTTAAGCCACCATCGAGGGTCCTAGATACAAGTCAAGAAGAGGAACTGCGGCTGGGCTCATACTGAAAGATACATTTAAATACAGGTAGTCCTCGACTTACGACCACAAGCACCTGAATTTTGTTCATGGGGATGCTGCAATGGTCATTAAGTGTGAAAAACGGCCGTACGTCACTTTTTTTTCAGTTCAGTTGTCATTTCAAACAGTCACTAAACAAACTGTACTACACTTATTCTATATGTATTTGGTCGAGCCTGGTTAGGCACACAAGTAATTTGTCCCTGGGACAAAAGCACCCTGTGTACTTGCCAAACAATAGAATATAATGATAATTAACAATACTAAAGTGTACAGCCAATAAAAGGGGGGAGTTTAAAAAAAACAATGGAAGTTACAATGGCAAATATTGGTTTCTTGCAAGCGATTGTACTAAAATAAATGAAAATTATCCAAGTACTATGTACTTTTTCTCCCTCGAAGATCTTTCTCACCCTCTCTCTCCATTGCTGTCCCAGTCCCCCCACCCCTGGTTCTACCTTAAGTATCCTGTCCATCTTACCATATCAAAACAGTGTTTGCTTGTTAAACAAACTGCTTTTCCTTTCGCAGGAGGAGCTGCTGGTGGAGGTTTAGGCTGGCAGGAATGGCATGGCATGGCAGCCAAGTGGGTGGAGTGGGAGGGGGGGGAGCTGTCGGAAGAGCGGAGTCTGGTTGCTTAGTGACAGCAATGCGTTCCCCTCGGTTACCCCGAGCGAGAAGGGGGAGATAATGTCAGGGAGCAGAAGTTCTTTCTGAGCTCTGCCTCTCCAGCAAGCACGGAAACAGGTGACTGGGACAGCCCCTTGGAGCGGCAGACGGCCCTCGCCCCTTCCTAGTCCTGAGTGAGGTTGAAAAGAGGCCAAAGAAACTTGGCTTGGTTCGCCCTGAAAGTGCCTGACATTGATTTCCATCTCTCTCTCTCTCTCTCTCTCTCTCTCTCTCTCTCTCTCTCTCTCTCTCTCTCTCCTTTCTTTTTCTTTTTCTTTTTCTCTTTCTTTTTTCCTTCACTCTCTCTTGCTGTCTTTCTCTCCTCCCCTCCCCTCCCTCTCTCTGTCTGTCTCTCTTCCTTCCCTCTCCTCCCCTCCCTCCCTCTGTCTCTTCTTTTCCTCCCCTCCCTCCCACCCTCTGTCTCTGTCTCTTCCTTTCCTCTCCTCCCCTTCCTCCTTCCCTGCCTCTCTTCCTCCCCTCCCCCCTCTCTTCCTTTCCTCCCCTCTTCCTCCTTCCCGGTTTCTCTTCCTCCCCTACATCTCTCTCTCTTCCTTTCCTCCCCTCCCTCCCTCTCTCTGTCTCTCTTCTTCTGCTCTGCTCTCCTCTGGCTCTTTTTTGGAATGAGTGTGGATCACTTCCTAGTTCCTAAAGTTGAGATAACTCTCTTTCTACCTAGCCTACATTTGGAGGGTTGTTTGAAGATTCACTCAGTGGGTGCCATAATGAAGGGATATTGGAAAAAATGGATTGTAGCCTAATGGGTTTGTTTTGACTATCAATTGGTGTTATTCTTCTAGATGTTTAAAGCCAGGAGAAGAATTTATTTTTTTGCAAAGATTATTGATCTAATTGATATTTTGGAAGAAGAGCAGGACATCCTAAGAAATATTCATCATGAATCCAAAGGAGATTACCAAAATTTTGAGGGTAGGTGTGAATAACTCTTATAAAAACATTGGCTGAGTTTGCTTATTGTGCCCTGAAAACACAATCCTGTTTCTGTGATTTAGGCTTCGTGTCTTGTATGATGATAGCAATCGTGGCTTTTAACCCTTAATATGTAATACAGACTTAGGTTAAAGCTAGTGAGTTTCAGCTTCTTTCTCAATCCATGGTCAAACACTGGCTTTGTTTGAGATATGTGTCCAGTCTCTATATTTAAAAAGGAAAGGATTTGACAACTGCATAAAGATATTGTAATACTACGATGTTGAACTTTTGGAGAAAAATAATATAGCGATCCCATTGCAGATGTTGGACAAAACCTCTTTTAATCTGGTGTCTTCAGATGTGTTGGATAAAAGTTTGCAAAATTCCCACCTTGATCACCACATCTGATGGATGGAGAAAAATAGTAATGGGTCTTTTGCCTGGGCTATCCAGAGAGCTTCTAGCTTAGTTGCATTAAGTCATGATTTAACTGTAGTTTATTGGGGGGAAAGTAACACCCCCTGTTTACATACCATAAAATTGTGCTGAGAAACATGCTAAGCCCTAACCAAAGTAATTGTGTTATTTCTTAGCATTAAATAATATGACACTAAAAGTGGCTGAGTGGCTAAGATGCTGAGCTTGTCGATCAGAAAGGTCGGCAGTTTGGCAGTTTGAATCCCTAGCGCCACGTAATGGAGGGAGCTCTCATTACTTGTCCCAGCTTCTGCCAACCTAGCAGTTCAAAAGCATGCAAAAATGCAAGTAGAAAAATAGGAACCATCTTTGGTGGGAAGGCAACAGCCTTCCGTGCACCTTGGTGGCACAGTGGTTAGGGTACAGTGCTGCAGGCTACTTCTGCTCATTGCTGGCTGCCTGCAGTTTAGGCAGTTCAAATCTCACCAGGCTCAAGGTTGACTCAGCCTTCCATCCTTCCAAGGTGGGTAAAATGAGGACCCAGATTGTTGGGGGCAAGAGGCCGACTCTGTAAACCGCTTAGAGAGGGCTGTAAAGCACTGTAAAGCGGTATATAAGTCTAAGGGCTATTGCTATCTTCCTTCCCTCCTTCCCTCCTTCCCTCCTTCCCTCCTTCCCTCCTTCCCTCCTTCCC